CGTAAGTTAGTCAATTTTTAAGATTTTTCGTCAGATTGACCAGAAGCAATCGATTAGGAGAATTCTGGATCTAATCACTGTTTTGGATATATAGATGGTTTTTCAAAATTTTGAGATTCGATTTTCTGCCCTGGAAGACCTAGTGTTTGGTTAAACGAGCAGTAGAAAATCTGTAAAAACCATCTATATATATGCAAAACAGTGGTTAGATTCAGAATTCTCTTCATCGATAGCTTCTGATCAATCTGATGAAAAAATCTTAAGAGCTAACGAACTTACGTTGACATCAATTCCAGTTTTTTTTCCAGTTCCAATTCTCACCAATTCCATTCAATTCCTGGGATTGGTGAAATTGGAATTGGAACTAGTGCATCCCTACAGACAACCAATGAATTTACAGTGATCGTCGTTTCTTTTGCTTTGGAAAACGATGTTTCAAGAACTCATAGATTTATGATATCTTTAAAAAATATGGCCAATTCATTTGTAAAATAAAACTCTGGAAAAATATTCTAATTTCAGGTTCAAATAGTTTTTTGAAATCTCCCAAAAACGAGATGTGACATACTCGTAAACGAAAGATCTTCAATTGAGGCAAACATTGATTGATCAACAACTGCCACCAGTCACTATCGAGCCATTGATGAAAATCTGTTTGATTACGTTCAATATGAATATTTAAATAGGTCAACATTGAACATGCTTGTATAATCTGATGAATTTCATCTCGAAGAGTGTAGCTGAGTTTAATAGTCAAATGAGTTAATGACCGGGGAACATTCGATTCCGAGATGAAATTATTGTCCATCGATCTTGTTTTCAAACTTAAACTGAGTCGTTGGATATTTGGTAAACATTTGAAAATGAATGGAAGATTGTCTATTGATTTTAAATGAACTTGAAATTTGTGAAGATGTTCAGCAATGGGTAATAATTGGAAATTAAAATCGATATTTAACGATTCATTATTTAAAATAAGAGTGCGTAATGTTGGAAGGCAGAAAATATTGGCCAGATGTCTGTCATATTGTCTGATATGATCATAGTCGAAAGAATAAATTGTCCAACGTTTAAAATCAATGGTGAGAGTATGAAGACAGTTCATTTGAGACAGATTAGGAAATTGTTCTGGATGTCGTAATCGAAGATGTTTTAATCGAGTAAAACTCTGATCGAATGTTGGAAAAGAAGAGAAAAAGAGACTCATTTGACCAGGTGTCTCTTCATCGTCGGATAAAGTGAGTATCATAATTTGATCAGGATGAATTACGTTACATATCCAATCGAATTCATGTTTGAGTATTGTTTGAAAGTTAATTTTATATTGTTGATAATTTCGTATACATTGTCTTAAGTATGGACTGAAACTGTAGAATGAATGAAGAATTTCAATTGCCGTTAAGTAACCGAATATATTGAAAATAAGTTCAACTGGAAGCCGATCGAGAAGCAGCTGTGGAATAGGCATATTCATTCGTACGTGAACAACTAAGAGTAATGATAGTGGTTTAGTTTGCAATCAACAACTAGAAAAAGTATGTTATTTCACAATCATTGCCTATGAATGAGTCATATGCATCGCGTGCATCTTTCCATATTTGGATGTGTGCATCGTACACTGTAAAAAATACCTTTCGTAGAATAAAGAACGAATAAAATAAATATCCTTATATAGTAATTTTTGACACAGCACAGAATGAAAAAAGAAATAACTTATTGCTTGCGGCTAATTTCCTTTTCTTTCGCTTACTATCACTCATCGGAAATGAACTTTTCTTTGTATTTCTGATTAATAAGATTAGAGATATTCAAATCTTATTCAAACTCTTACCGCAAAACTAACGAATAGAATTAGAGAAAATATTATAAGTTGATATAATTCAATAATCTAAATATATCCATAGGGATGAGAAAATTAATTAACCCATTTATATTAAGACTTTTCTATGGAAAAGAAATCTTCACTATATTCATACCACTTGTTCATATCATAATAAAATATTTATTAATTTATTAATTTAAAACCAAATATGTTCTGGTATTCAAATGCTGATTCGTGGCTACTTGGTTATTCTAATGCACCACTTTATTATAAATCAATTATCGAATAAAAAACAACAACATTAACAAAACAAGGATTATGATAAACTATCATGTTATTTAACATTTGTATTACATTATTCTCTGGATAGAAAACTCATCATTGATTATTTAATAGGATTAGGAAAAATAGAAGTCACTGGCTCATTGGTGTGGGTATGGATGTAAGCCTTGTTTTCACCCACAGTCACTCCACACTCACATCTACACTCACCCACAACCCTTTAGTCTTTCAGCGATTATGCTAATAGCTTGTTATTCGTAGTTTAAGTTCTATTAAATGACATAGCTTTCTCAATTTTTTTCTCGACAGTAGAGCAATCGAAGTTTTTTGACAGAGAAAAAAAAAACAAGGAAATAGTTCACAAAGTCCAATCTGACATCACAATTTTGCACTAATATCATTTTTGTTTATTTCCACGTTGTCTAGCTCATTGAGGAATAGTAAGTGAAAGATTTAATGTGAGATTTCGATTTCTATCACAAAAGAAAGAAGCATGAAAACTTGAATTTAAAGCCACTTAAAGAACATTCACAGGCTCCAAAAGCTACCGCAGTTCTACTGATATAGGCTGCATATCATTTCCGCATATGTCGTAATATGCTAGACCATTGATCTAATTTTTGTGAAACACGACGTGAAAGAAACATTGAAGTAAATAGGGTAGAAATTAGGAGCAGTGTGGGCCGATGTTGATGTTGGTATGACTCTGTGATGGGTAAGTATGGGTGTGGGATTATGAGTTCTAGTAAATAGAAAACCAATATTCCCAGCTGCACACTCACACCAACACCATACCTCACACCCACACTCACATTCAGGCTGAAAATCAAATAGTACTGGTTGAGTAAACAGACGCATCGGTTAACCGTTGTTTACCGAAAAAAAAACCGACGACTTACCACAGTTATCGAAGCCGGTAACCGGACCGTCAAAACAGCGGTAAACCACTGGCTTTTATCCGGTTTTTATTACATAGGTTTATTCGATTAGGATTCGAAGAAAGTTGTCAAAGACAAACCTATAGATATAAATGCGAAAAATGTTTGGGATACTAACTGACAAGGAAAAAAAACGTATTTTTATATCGACATAAGTACGACATTTTCTTTGTTTGTCTTCTTATCTTTTGGATTTCGATAGAAGAATACAATCGTGTCATTCCATTATTTTTATCAGTATGTCAATACTGCAACTAGTTGAATGTGCGATGTATTCAAAAATCATATTTTTAAAACGCGCTCGATACTTTCGTTTAGAGTCAAGCTGAATAGTTTTTTTTTTATTTATTTCTGAGCATCACTTAGCAATTGAAATAAAGTTAAAATAGATGACATGGCGGTTTTCGACACACAACAAACATTAAAGGGTTTCACATTAATTGTTTTTGTTCCATCAGATAATTTAAATTAAATTCTTTCTCAATCAAATGAGGTACAATGCCGAAAAATCATTTTCTAAATGTTTGTACCACTTGGAAATAAATTTGAGTGAAAAAACCCACATATAATTGATTTACTTTGATAAAAAAAAAATTCTTTTTTGGTGGAGATGATTTATTAAATAGAACTATCTAGTTCCAGTCAAATATGTGACAAATAAGGGAATTTTAGAGATCCAGTTAAATATTGATTGAACGATGCTGGCAGACACATTCAATGACACAAGAATGAACACAAATAATTGGTCAATTTATTAGGTGATTCTGGACGAAAATGTAACACAACAATCGACATATGTAAATATGTTTGATTTAGCCAATTAACACTTTATTAGCCTGAAGATCGGTATAGTTGAGTAGTGATCCACCATTACACGCTAAATGATTACCAATTCTAATCAATATTTTATTTTTTATAAATTTTAAAGATTTTTTTTCTTGATTCACATGAACAGCATCAAAAGTAAAAATGTCGAAAATAAAAATAAGTCATATATCGAAAGATAGAAATGGAAGCAGAGATTGCCCGAATCATCACTGTCGCACCTTCACCTTTACAACGATAGGGAATACATCGCAAGTATATCGTTTCAGTATTGATATAACCTATACGTCACATAAAAGCTCTGCAATATCAATGTAATTTTTATTATTAAATTGTTTCCTTTGCATAGATCGTTTTAGTTTTTCTTTAAGAATAAAGAAAAATGACACACTATTAAGTTACATGAATGAGAATCGGGATGAGTAGTTAGCTCCACGCATAAAGTAATTCAATTTGTATCATTACTTCTTCATTGAATAAAGGAATCAAAGAATTCATTCTAATTAGAAAAAATGCGATTAAATGTGAAACTATTACAAACCTAAAAACAATTTTTTTTTACGAGAGGAAAGAAAATGAGCCTTATTGGATGCAATGAGAATAATCACACCTGATCGAAGCCTTTTAGTACAAACAACACGTGTCCGTATCATAGCTATCCGTTTTGTTTGTCTTCCAGGTAAATTATTATTCATAAAATGATCATCGATGTCTTTCTTGTCATTCTATCAATCAACGACTATACGTGCTACTCTCTACTGATCATATCAAAGTGTATATATGCGTAGTAAGATTTTTGCTGCGTAACTATGAAAAGACATATTGATTATTTATAAAAAAAAAAACACTACCAAACGTTTTGATAATGAGAGAGAAAATGATAATTACTCAGCAAATTCTTATTGATGTTATTAGAAACTTAATCCTATTAAAATATGTTCAATAAATTAAGTAGAAATTGTAAGCTTTCTAAGATGCAACTTATTCTAGTATGTTTGTTCTCAATCCATTATTAGATTTACAGGTAGACGTATGTGCATTTGATGATTTCTGACGGGAACTCTCATTCATCACCGATTGTAAAACATATAGAATCTGATACTCAAGTACCAACGTCGTCAACGATAATTGTCATGTCTTCAGACACAAGTTCATCTAGTTCTTCTATTCAATCATCAAAGAAAAAAAGTCCAGCAGAGAATCAATATGAATTACCCGATGTTTCTAATCGAAAGCAAGCGTCAGTTAAAGAAATTTCAATAAGTTATCTTAGACATCGACTATGCGTAAGAGAACAATATTATGCTCGACTGTAAGTTACAACTCTTTTCATTTTATTTCCCATTTTTTTTTGTTTTATTTTAGAGCCTTAGTCAGCAATCTGATGAGTTTTCTCGCTATTGTAGGTGTTATTCTAATGATCATCGAAAATGAATTAACTTTTGCTCATGTTAATAATAAAGATACAAAAGTTAGCTGGTTTCTTAAATTAATAATTACAATTACCACGGTGATTCTTCTTGTTCTCATTTTTTATTACCATTATTTAGATATGAGTCTTTATTCTTTACGAAATACACTTGAAGATTGGCGTGTTGAATTAACAAATAACAAAATATTGCTAATTATACTTGAAATATCAATTTGTGCAGTTCATCCTATGCCTCGGTCTTATCCTCAATTAGATCCTGAAAAGCTAAATTCAACTTCAATAGAATCTGATTCATCTTCACCAAATCTTTATTCTTTATCGTACACAGCTGTCGATGTTGGACTTGGTTTGCCAAGTAAGTATTCTTTTTATTATTTTTTTTAATTAAAATTTTTACGAATAGTGTTTCTTCGTCTATATCTACTTGGTCGTTCCATTATGTTACATTCACATGTGATTCGTGATATATCATTACGATCACTTGGATATTTGAATAAAGTATCCATTGATTATTTCTATATTATAAAAACTTTTCTTGAACAATGGCCAAGACGATGTTTAATTACCTTTTGTATTATTGTTTTTTTCATTGGAAGTTGGTCTTTGCGTGCATGTGACTATACAACTACGAGAGAACATCTATCTATGCTAGAGTCCATGTGGCTCTTCATTACGACATTTACTACTATTGGTATGTATATGTATGAAGAAATTTTTGATAGAAATGTAAATTCTGATCAATTTTGTAGGTTATGGAGATCTATATCCATCGACATACTGTGGACGAGGTAAGTGAAATATGATTGACGACAAAAGTTCTTTGATTGTTTTATCTAAATTTTTCATATGATGGTTATTAGGTATTGCTACAATAATTGGCTTGATTGGTCTTTTATTATCTGCTATTCTTATTGCTATTCTTACACAAAAACTTTTCCTAACTCGAGAAGAAAAATATGTACATACCTTTGTATTAAATACTCAATTAGAGAAAAAACGTAAAAATCAAGCAGCAAATGTTATTAAGTTTGTCATTAAACTCTGGTATTTAAAACGTCGAAATAAATCTTCATCTATTGAATATCTTTTGACTCAACGAAAAATATTTCGATCGATATATCATCTTCAAAAAATCAGACAAGATCAACGAAATTTAATTGATAGTTGTGTCAATCTCACTGATGTGATGACTATACATCGTGATACAAGTGTGCAAACTAGAGAAACAGTACAGCAAATAGTGATCATTAAAAATGATATAAAGAAAATCGAAGAAGAATTAAAGAATATTAATTATTGTATGAATACTTTACAGAATACACTCAATATTTTATTGGATAGAGCCACGAAATAACATACTAATACTACTGTATTATTCTTTGAACAAATATAAGAAATATTCAGTTTTATTTTATAATGGAGAAGCAATTTATAAAAAAACAAAACGTTTAAAGAAGTAGAAGTGTATAGTTTAATCAGTAATGTGTCTTATGTATTTTTATTGTACTATAGTCGAAGACATTAATCTTAGTTTTCTGGCCAAAGAACAGATTTTTAATTGATGGATGAATTCATCGGTAAAATTCATATGGCTTTTTTTGTATATTTATATATGAGTGTCTTTTTGATTTGTTACTATAACTCTTTTGTCATGTATCTCTTTATTACAAATATATCATTTTTAATTTTTTCTTGGCGATGACAGCACTGACATTATTGCTGACATGATGAAGTTGAAGGATCAAGAGAGTATATCGGGATTTTTTGTTTGGATTTATTTACTGTGTCAATACTTTCGCGCACTCACACTGCAAGTATGCATGCATATATTGAGGAATTGTGTGAGATTTATCTCAAAATGCATAAGAACTTATTAAAAAATTCCTAATAAATCTGAAAAAAAAGCTCTGGTAGCTGCTGAGGATCAAAATAAGAAAAAGTGCATTGGGATAATGTATAATTATATATTTTTCTTGTTCTGTACATGCTATCATCGTTCACACAAATTCATTATTGCTTAACCCTTTGAGTCCTGAATTTTTTCTACCGAACCTAATTTGATGAAACCACCAGGAATAGTAGGGCTAGGTGTGCTGATGAAGTTCCACTATAGGACAGATTTTGATAATCCCGTGTTTTTATTTGAGGGAGAGTGCAAAGTTGGGGAAAATTCGAGAGTAGGCTCCGAAGATGATTTTGCTGTTTGGCTCAGAAACAAGCTACAGACTTGGACGTTTCAACATTAGATAGAGGGTAGTTAGTCGATTCTAGAGTATTAATAAAAGTTAAAATTCTGTTTGGGCTTCATAGAGATATTTCAGCCCAAAAAACGTCAAAAAGTAGAATTTTCTGTAGGTTTTTTCACAAAAAACGGAACACGAGAAAAAAAACATCCGCTACAAAAAATGGTCACCTCAACGAGTGGCATCAATGGTAAAATTTTCAGACTTCTCGCATTTGTAATAGAGGAACTACATAAAGTCCAATTTGGCTGGGAGGTCCACCTTGTCCTCTTCATTTGAACCTCTTCATAAGATTTTCAATTTTTTCGAACCTACAGCTATGCTTAAAGGTACGAATCCTACAAGCTCAGAAAGTTTCATTCCATTCCGATGAATTCGATGTAAATCCTCGTACACTCTCGATAGAAGTACTCCCCCCCTCTCCCCATGGGGTCAAAACTTGGCAAGGTGCATTTTTCAATGTCATCCATAGACTCTATTATCCAATCAATCTTGTGCGGACCTCAGCTAGCTTCTAACATTTATTGAAAATATTTCTCCAAGATTCTTAAAAACTAGAAGATTTCAAAATTCTCAAGGTGGGAAATATATGTCGCAGTGGACCTCAAAGGGTTAAATAAGATATCAACATAGAAATCTAAATACAGCTGTTTATCATAAAGAAGTAGTTGAACCTTGAATTGTATCATTCATATCAGATCATTTGCATTATATATATATATATGAGAGCATTATTAAACTAATTCTTCTTCAAGCTCTACGCTATTCATCAACATTGAAAGAATTCAGTCGTGAACAACGAGCTATTCAATTAATGTTACTCTACAATTCTAGAATACCTATTATTTCCCAAGTTTTCCAAATGTGGCTGTAGTTTGAAAAGTTACAACTCAATTACTATAGAATGCCAAGAATTTATTGAAATTGTTCTTGATTTTTTTTAGTTAAGAATAACGTTTGATAAGACTTGAATATGTTATTCCTCTGATTCCAATGGTAAACGACTTCCATCTCTCCAAAATTGTCCATTCTCCAGATTCTCAGTGTAAACAGCATATAAAATAGAATCAGCGCCCAGTTCAGGTGATCGTGTGCCCTGTGCTTTGTTATTTAGATCAGTTGTACAAAATCCTGGACAGACTGCACTAATTGTTATATTTTTCGTTGAATATTTTTTATTCCAGTCACGTGCTTCTAGACGAGTTAGAATAGTGACACCTAGTTTTGATGCACAATAGTATAATAAATAGAAATTTTCCAAGGCAGAATATTTAATAGGATCAAAGCCAACCGTTTTTGGATCTTTTCCTTCTTCGACTGCTTTAAATAAGCTGAAAATGCAAAAAAAGAAGATTAAATATACGCGTCTACTTGATTCATTTTCTCTCGTCAACTTACGGTGCAAATAATTCTTCTAATTCCGTTTCTGTTAAGTTTGGATTGAGAAATTTTGTTTTTAAGTCTTGAGAACAGTGTTTCATTGACAGTGCCGCTGCTTCACTACTAACATTAACAATGCGTCCATTGTCTCTTAATAATGGTGACATCGCATCATTCATTTGTTTTACTCCATAAAAATTCGTATTGAAAGTATCTTTTAATGCTTTCAAATCTGATTTTATAGGAGCTATGCCAGCATTGTTGATGAGTACATCGAGATGATCACCATATTTCTTTTGAATTTCCTGTTTTGCTTGTTCGATACTTTCTTTCGATGATGTATCAATCAGGAGAACTTTGACATTTAAAGGTGAACCAAGTTGAGCTAGAGCTTCTTCGCCACGTTTCTGATCACGACTGCCAAGCAAAATTAGATCAGTTGGATGATTTGCCGCAAGTTTTTTCACCACTTCAAATCCAATACCTTTATTAGCTCCAGTAATTAAGAATACTCGTTGATGTGATTGTTGTTGAGAAGACATATTTTTCTTTGTTTTTTCTTTTTTTGTTCTATGTAATACAACGAAATGAAGACGTATATATGTATCTAGATGCTTTTATCTATAATCGAAAGAAAGAAAAAAATTGTTTACATTTTTATAACGCATAATATTTTTTTACCTTGCCATACTTTTTTCCGTTCTCTACTTACAACATGCAATATTTTTTTTGCTTTGTCATCAAGACTAAAATGAAAATATTTGGATTTGGATTTTTGCGGATTTTTTTCAAATAAAAGTATCTTACTTTCATTTTAAAAAATGTATCTCTACTTATACTTATACTTCTAGACGAATACTTTTAACCTTATACTTAAGTTCGAATAAAGTGCTTGATACTTTGGTTTGAATAGAAAATAATTTCTTTTTTTTTGCGTATCTGAAGCACTCAAATAGATGGGATATAACACAATGCGTGGCAAATATATGATTGATAAGTTTTGATGTTAATGTACGATTAATAAGAATATAGACAAAAGAAGCTCGGGCATATCATTTGATAACGTCCATTGAGATAGACGCTTATCGACAATAAGTATTCGAATACGTTGAGAAAAGATTACTTCCCAGCCAGACAAACACGAGAAAAAAAAAACACAAAAATCCGTCGAAATTTTAACGAAAAAAAAATTCGTAAAAACCGTCCATTTTTTTGGATTTTTTTCGTTAAAATTTCGATGCATTTTTATGTGTTTTTTTTGCTGTTTGTTTATCTGAGAAGCTGTCAAACTTTTCAAATATCTTCTTTCATGAGGTCTTGTAGCATCACGAAGTTTTAGAAAAATTAAATTGAATAGAATTTTTTCTTGGCAATTCCATATCTGTCAGAGACTTCGTTGAAAACTCTTTAATTTTTATGGAAGCTTGTCTAATTAAAGTCTCTATATATCAAAAGGTTCGGGTCAAATTTTGAAAATTTAATTTTTCCAAAACTTCATGATGCTATAAGACCTCGTGAAAGAAGATATTTGAAAAATTTGATAGCTTAGTCAAATTTAAATGAAAACTCAAATATTTCTAGAGTGTCTACTAGAGTACTATATAATATCTACAGGCAAAAGAATCATTGCAATCGTAAGAGGCACTTGAAGTAGTTTTCGCGTAAGTAAATAGGTAAAAGAAATATCCTACATTTAAAGACTTAGTTCGCTGAAAAAATGTATAGATGAGCCCGTAAGCATTTTGGGTATGGGTGTTGGTGTAGAAATACGGATGTCTTTTCTTGATACACACTCACACTCTAAAGAAAGATCTAACGGAAACTATTAAGAAAGCAATTAAAATAAAATCAGATGAGTTATTGAAAGAAAATAAAATTACATTAGCAAAACTTTGTGAATTAACATCAATAGATGATCTACCAAAAATTAGCGGACAATCCAAATTACATAACAAATATATCAATGCGAATCGTAAGGGTATGGATGTGGAAGAAGAGAAGATCCACATTCAGACTCACACACACACTCACACCCACATCCGAGACGTCACTCATTTTAACGAGTGGCAAAGCCAAGAACTTGATCAACATGCCATAGAAGAAAGTTTTTTGAATGGGACAGAATATGTGAAAACTGCTATACCAACAAGAAGCGGCTGTCAACTACAGTCACTCACTGATATTGGACAGTCGTGCTGTGAAACAAGAGATAGAAAGTTTTCCAAAAAGAAATCGACTGATCCAAATTATACAAGTTCGACATAGACTATCTGTAACAATAATTTACTCTCCAAAATAAGTAGATCATCTTCTTCTAGTTGTACCTAAGATAACTTTACATTCATGCATGTTAAAGTCGTGGTCTTTGCTTCGCTAGATAGAGCATGAAAACTTGTCTAAATGGTGAAAAGAGAATGAAATTCCCATCTTTAGCTCCCAAGATATAAGCTCAAACTTTTGTTCGCAGTTTTTTTCTTTTGATATGCCACATGTCTCAATCCATCTGCAGTAAAGTTAGATCGATTTTAATCGGGTGTAGCAAATGACACGGTGGATCGTCAGCCTACGGCATTTTTTTTCCATATTCAACATGTAGAAAGTTTTTTGCAAAGAAATCTTTTAGCAAGCAATGCTCTACAAATGCCGAATTTTTTATTGATTCATACTTTTAGCTGTAAGAGCTTGTATTTTAGAGTCATTTCTGATCCCGTGAATGTATCTGATTCACATT